TATATATATACACACATATGTATGTGTATATATATATATAAAAGAATATCGTGACTGTGAATATGCATCACAGACTCTTAACAAGTATTTCTAGAGTAACTGACATAAACAGAAGTTTGCTATCTATGGTTTCTCAGCTATAAATGTAACAGGAGTAAAAAAAAATACTTTATCTCTTATGAGAATATAAACTTAGTTCCTCATATTTACTATTAATGTGTTTAGAAAACCAAATTTGTTTATGGACTAAGGTCTTACTCAGTTAATGAGATGTATGTTACAAAAAGTAGTGGTTTAAAAATCATTTTCCAATTACTAATCAAGTCAGGTTAGAAAATTCAAGATAGTTCACGTGAAGTGCTCCTTTTGACAGTATGCTGAGGTGTTTACAAAGCATATATACAAAATGTATAAAACTCTTTTGTTTCAATCCTCTGTTTCTTGACAGAATTTGAAATTAACATGACCAATTAAATCTATCACGACTATCTGGGGCAATGCTGACAAGATGGGTTTTTTCTTTTATTCCCTCCTATTTTAGAAGTACTTTACAAGTGAAAAGGGCAACATCATTTTTAGAGCTTGTTGAGAACTTCAAATATCTAGTCCCCAGAAGCAAGATTCATCGTGAGGAGTAGCTAAGGTCTCACCGAGTTTTCAAAATAGTGCCCACATATACCGTACTTGTTGAACAAATTCAGATTTATTGAAAGTAAACATTTACATTGGCTACAATGTTAGAACTATTACAAAGCTGGATAAAAGAGGCTTAAGTAGCAATAGAAAGCAAGTGCAATAAAAAGTGAATAGAGAAAATATTTGGCCTTAGTGATCTCTTGGCAGTATTTACATTATGTACATATTGTTAAATATTTATAATAACTCTAAGGCACCAAAGGCTAAATAGCAGGTTGCAATACTATTTTGTGCACAGAAGTCAAGAAATTTATTGTAAAGAAGGCTGGATAGTTAAAGAAACATAGGCATATCTTAATGTTTACATAAAGGAGTGGCTGCATTTTTAAAAATCTCAAATGATACATTAAATATTGGGCAGATTGAAGAAAATATTTTTAGAACATTAAATTATGTTGACTATGTAAATAAGCACTATTTTTTTACTGACTTGCTGGTAAATGTGTAATGTAATCTATTCTTCAACACAGCTTTTTCACACTCATGGATATGTTTTGTCTAAAAACTACTTGAAATTCTTTCAACCTACAAAAACTTACCCTAATATATCATAGTGTATACAAAATCTCCAGGAAAAATTGACTGGACAATAATATACATCAAATTCATATTTAATCTGACAAAAATTTAGCAGGCATTCAATGCCAAATAATTGAATATTCAGTCTGCCACTCTGGCAAAGCAGTTGAGTATGTTAATCCTTTAACTGTAAGTGGGCAATTGTTTGTGGCTTAGGTGAATGGACATAAAATTGGCCCATGGAGAAAACCAATCTTAAAGGGGACTACTTATATTCAGATTTTGCAACTTGAAACCCCTTCACATAACTCACTGGGTGTTAGTTAGCTATGTCGTTCATCACCAGTGACTGAAATATCCGTATTACTGCACTGTCAAGAGGTAACTGACAATATCTGTGTCCAGCACAGTCTTGACTGTTGAATTACTTGATAACTTCCATTTGCAAAATTTTATGCGTTCCTTATACTGGAAACCCAGTTTACCTTAACAAACGGTCTGTCAATTGTCTTGAGGTAGTGTTAGAATGAAGAATTCAGCGGAACAATCGAATAACATCCTAGTATTTTTTAAATGTGCTTCAAGTGCTACTATGAAATCCACATATTTAAGTGGTAGACAGTCCAAGGTTGAGTGGCCCTTCATGACATATTAAATCACTATCTGATGAAAGGCATCCAGACATTTACAAAGATGATGATTTTTCCTTAAAACTTTCTTCGACACCATGCCCTCTGGCAAGTTATGATACTACGGTATAAAGTAGTGCTAGAATTCTTTCAATGATATTAAAAATTTATACTGCGTATTAAAAGTTTCCCTTCTTTTAGCAAAGTGGAGAATAACTGAGAGATTTCTTTTTTAAACTCTTAAATTTTTCAATGAAAAATATTCAGAACATTAGCAATAGTTTTGGGTTTTTTTCTTACACCACATTAATGATACTAAGTTTAAGGAGGTGGCACTCATTTAAATTTTAAATTTAAAAACCACCTTCAAATCCAACATTTGACTGAGATTTGCTGAAGAAAAAATAAAAATAAAAATCATTACAACATAATGCAGTCTAAGGCACCCAAGGTACCTTACCATAATGTATTCTATAGCACTAGGTTTTAAGTATATTATTACTTTTTTCTCTTCTCAAATGTTCACTCATTTTCTTTTTTTTTTCCAATACAGTGGACAATGAAAAGGACAAATCACTCATAGTGAAATGTTTACAAAAATCAGTAATGTAGGAAAAAGCAGAACTAATAAATTAAGGTTCTTCTTTCCCTACTTCAAGAATGAAAATAAATGATTACCTTTGCTCAGTGGGTTAATGCGAAGTAGTAATGACTACACAATTAATACAACTGTTACAAAGCATCAGTGAACAGACTTCAAATATTATATAAATACAATACAATATCACATGTTTGGAATCATCAAATATGTCAATAGGTAATATCTTAATGGGGTGACTGAATCAAGGCATGATAATGTTTAAACTTCTAAATCTTACAGACCTACTTGGAAGCATGATTCATTTATTGATGAATATTAATGAATATTATTAATTAATTAATACTGAAATTGGATTATTTAAAAATAAAGGTAAGTATCAGTATACTATAGTAACCCCAATATCAAAAACGTTCAATTAAAAGATTGGCTCTCATACTTCGAATATTTGCTTACAGAGATTCTGACAATTTTTCAAAACAAACTTAAAATCTGTCATTTTGCACTGCAATAGCATTCAATTAGTTACTATTTGGAGACATCTTATTATCATAACAGATGTCCATTGTCTGTAATAGTTAGTGGGCATTAAAACTATCAACTGCTTCCCCTGCTCTAAGAGGTGAATCTACTTTTATTGTTTTCTTTTCATTTTTTTAAAAATTTACATCCAAGTTCTATTCTTAAACTGGTGGTAGAGGTTTGCATTCTTCCAGTTTTTCCTCCCTAAAATACTCTCCCCTGAGCCCTCCAAGTCACCCATTCCAGTTCAGATTCTGATACTACACTCCTCATAGATCACTCAACTGTTAAGTAAAACCTTAATGGGTTAGGTCCGTGGTTCGAAAACTATGCTTGGTGGGGGGCGCTACAGGGCGTTTTTGGAGTTGCCTCAGTGCTGCCAGTGGCCACACAGGTGGGGTTCCGAGACCTCAACTTCCAAATCCTGCCATTACGTCTTCAGAACTATATTATATATAGAACGTGCCACAAAATTAATTTGAAAATAGTAATTTTGACGCTTAAAAATGTTTTTAAAACGCAGTCAAAGGGATTTGGGAGACCTGGGGAGTCTTGGCAGAAAGAAGCAAGTCATCCGCTTGTCCCATGGAAAATCTTCAAATATCTGGTCACAGAGTACTAAGTGACATGCTAGATCTATGCCCTACTATGCCTCAGTCTGGCTTTGAGTTTGGAGGCCCAAGTCGGAATGGATCAATGTTTTAAGTGGATCCTATCACAATGATTAATATCTCAACCGCTTCAAGTCTATTTTTGCAGAAATAAGTGGCATTATCAATTATTTACAATGTAAGGAAACAAACAATAGGTAAATACTTAAGTAGCAACCCTTAGCGATGCATGTGACCTTTTTGCTCACCTTGTGTGCCAAAGGAAATAAACACAGAAGTTATAACATTATACTTGCAAATGACTATACATTTTTACTTTTTTTTTTCTTTCTAAATAAATTAGAATCAGATATGAGCCTTGATTCAGGGTCTGAATAGAGTGGCAGACTTGTTAATTAAACTGCTCTCATGAATGGCCTTATTCCAAAGATATCACGTAGGAAATAAAACACTGTCAATTAAAACTTATAATGAGCAAGAATAACTTCAGGACCCAAAGAAATAGAAATGATTTTGATGAGCACATGACTCTTGAAAGGAAAATGCTGAGAGCTGGTGCTATTATTCTCTATAAATCTATTTGTGTTCTTTTAATATAAAAGAAACTTCAAAGTTTGTCTTCTTTCTCAATACGAAAAAACATAAGCAGAGGTATTAGATGAAAAAATATAAAAATGCTGGTGTGGTATAAATAAATTGTAAAAATGTTCCATTGTAGTAAATAAAAAATATATACTGTTTGTTTAAATTCTGAGGCCCTTCTTTTAAACATATAATCATTTGAATATAGATTTAGTCCACCTGGGGCACCTGTGTTCCCCAAATTATAATTGTTAGAGAACGTTATAAAAGAGTTGAATTTTAACTGAAGGAAAAATTATTTAAACAAATAGAAAAATTGTTTGTAAATATTTTCAGTGAATGAATGGTGATAAATTTGACTCGTGTCTTGGTTTATGTCCAGATTTCCTGCTTACTGAATATTATTTTCTTTTCATTAAATGGGAATGGAATCATGGAGCCATGCCATCTCTGTTGTCAATACACATATATGTGTATACACACACATATATGCACCATCACACACATTTTGATGCATGAATCTATAGATATATACATTACATACTCTTGGGCAAAGCACTGCATCTAAGACCTAATTGTTTTTGTTTAAGAAAAAAGTAACAGGAGAATAGGAAACATCCCCTCCCCAAACATTTGAATGTTCATACCACTAATTAAATAGCACATCGGAATGTGCAAACAGACTTATTGCAAAGTATTGTATAGATTTAGACGTCATTATAAAATGTTCTCAGTTCTATTTTGGTAACCTAAAATGTCGGTATATAATACCAAATTTCCAATTAAAGAGTTTAATATAAAAATATCAGCACAAAACTGTTTTTTCAATCTGTTTATTGTGTGAGCAACCCAAACTTAAGTTTAAGTGCTGTTGTAATTTTATTACTAGATTCCATAACCCTACAATTGATAAATTGTATACCATTTTAGGTATGTTTAATGAGATACTTAGAAATACTAAGAAAAAAATCAGTATTCAAAGGGTTACTTTTGTTTATAATAACAATGAGTTATTTTATCATCTTCTTCAGTTCAAAATCCAGCTTTGAACCCGAGGAAGCCTTTCAAATCACGTTAATTAAATGGTGGTCCTTTACCCAGTAGCGGTTTGATTACCAATTACTCGAAGGATCTCTTTGTGAATGCCTCCTTCTTGCGTGTTAATATTTGCATCTCCGACTTGGCCATCCTCATAGCTGAAATGCAAAAAAGAAACATAAGACATTTAAAAAGACGAAACATTCAAAAATCACTTAAGCCACCTTAGAAATGCTGTTTGGCACCCAAAGTACAGCTGAAAGGAATCAATAGCGAAGGAGTCATTTCTCTTCTGGATTTAATAATGTGTCTGCATTACTAAACACATGATTATGCTCAATCGTGCCCTGATTTCCCCTTCCTTCCTTTCTTAATTTCAACTTTTTCACCCCCACATAAAGCACGGCTTGTGATGCCGGAAGCACCCGTGTCTCCGGCCTTGCAAGCATTTTCCCACAGTGGCTGCTATACGAAGCCTACCGTGGAGGAAACACCAGCTTCGGCTTTACGTTCTTTAGCTTCTAAACTTCCCAACGCCACTCCAGCCTCAATCGTTTATTTATTTTCTCATCTGCGACACTCTTAGAAATGACTTCACTCTCTGCCACTGCTCTTTTGCCATGCCTGCCCTCTCATCATCACTCTGTTGTGATCAGTGCTGCATTTTCTCTCTTATCTCTGGCTGCTCTACGTAGTCTGACTATACAAGACGTTCTTACTTAATGCTGGTACTTCACATTAGAACGCAAGTGCGCCAAGTGTAGCTAAGCTGTAGAAGTGAAAATAGAACATTAAAGGACAGCAGTTGCAAAGTCCTTTAAAAAGAAATAATTGCGTTTTAGATGATTCTTCATTTCCTCAAATAAACTTACTTGGGCAATAAGAATTTTCCAAGAATGAATTTTTAAACTTCCATGATAACGGTCAGAAGTAGAATAGGTGATGAATTAATTTTATTTCATAAAAATGACTTCAAGACAGAAGCTTTAGAGAAGTGGTAATTACTTCAAAATAGATAACCAGGGCTGTAAGCAGTCTCAAAGATTTATGCGCACCACTGTCTTTTCCTAACCACATAAAAATTCTCCTGAAATAGCACAATACAGGGAAATGAAATGGAGGGCATACAGCAATGAGAACCCAGGTCCTTACATAACCCACTGCTTAAACACCTAGTGATAACTGTATTTATATCGAATGTAGACTCGTAAGAACTGACCCACGGTTGCCTATCAACTTGTTTAATTCTTTCCGTATAAATATGCGCACGTGCGCGCACACACACACACATACACACACACACTCATAGTGAAACATCACCGTAAAGAAAAGAAAGGGGTATGTGGTATATAGCCCAGTTATAATTATTTCGTCAGGAGATCAAACTGTAAGTGTTCTGTTAATTAAGTGGAAAATGCTCAAGTGAAATGCTTTAAGTACTGTCCAAATCAAGTTTGGTGCTTTGTGGCAAACTATGTAAAAGATATATTTTACAGGGCAAGTAAAATACATTTTACTGGCTTTTACACAAATCCCGGCTACCCACAGGACTAAGGGTAAATTAAGCCATCTGTCATACTGAGCCAAGGCTGGAGAGGCAAACTGGCTGGCAGGCTCGTTCCGAGGGAGATAATAGTGTTTACCAAGTCAATCCAGCTAGTTCCTCCAGGATCCGGATTTTGGAAAGCAAAGACACTGCCAAAAGGACAGTGGGAAGACACAAAGAAAACCATAGTACTAGTTACACATACAGTCCACATGTAGCTCTTCTCATTTTCCCAATATGCATTTATGTTTATTCTGGCCCTATGGCACCTGTAGTAGGGTCTAGACACCTACTGTGTCCTCTGTACACAGGACACAAAGTTGAATAGGGTATTCTTGGCTTAACTGAGACCCAGTCTACCTACTACAATCTCTATTCCTTTCAACTTAATGCTGACCTTTGAGATTTGTCTCTAATACCTTCTAACTTCTCATGTCTTCAAGCCACTGCAGTCATTCTTCTGATCCTACCACTCTACTGAGTGTACTGACAATGGTTGCCCACGGCCTCCTAGGTGAGGAGTTCACAAGACTTTACCTGCTATGTGTGCAGTATGTGATACAGTGGACTGCTCTTTTTCCTAAAGTGATACTATCTCTTCACTTCCTCGTTGGCCCTGTGACTATTATTATTTAAAAAAATTTTTTTTCAATGTTTATTTATTTTTTGAGAGAGACAGAGACAGAATGCGAGTGGGTTAGGGGCAGAGAGAGAGGGAGACACAGAATCCGAAGCAGGCTCCAGGCTCTGAGCCATTAGCACAGAGCCCGACGCAGGGCTCAAACCCATGAGTGTGAGATCATGACCTGAGCCGAAGTCGGACGTTCAACCGACTGAGCCACCCAGGCGCCCCGGCCCTATGATTATTAATTCTCAATTTCCTTCACTGCATCCTCTTCCGTGGCCTCCCATTTCAATGCTGATTTTATCCACAATTCACTCTCAGTGTTTTCTCTTCTCATGATCTGCAAAATCTCAATTATTTCAATCCCTCCCTCTGCTTTAATTGTCACCCACATGCTGATTCCTAAACTATATCTCTAATCCTTACATCTTTCCCTAACTGCAATTTTCCCACAGAAATCACAAATCGAGTGTATTCAAAACTGAACTTAACTTTTTTACCCTGAAACTGCTTTTTTTTTTTTACCCTAACAAAATCTCAATTTGGAGTACCATTGTCTACCCACTCTCCCAACAAGGTAACTTCAGTCCTTCTTGGTTCTTCCATGTGCCTGATTCCAGTAAGTCACCAAGTTATCTTGCTTCTGTTTTCTTAATTATTCCCAGTTGCATCTTCTCTCCATTTGATGCCATTACCTTCATTTAGGCCTTCATTATCATTCATCTAAATAAGGGATTTTCAAGCTTCAGGTTATGTACAATTAGCGGGTTCCGAAATTAACTTAGATTGTTCAGGCTAGCATTTTTCAATGAGATTATGATAGAATAAGATACAGAACACTGAATGCACCACACAAAGGACACACTGTTTTTTCCCAAGTCACGATGTCAAACGCATTTTCTTCTGTAGTGAGAAACACTGACCTAGATGATTGTAATAACATTATAGCTGATCTCTCTGTCTCCACACTTACCCCATCATCTCTCCCCTAAGACTATTTTCTGCTCTGCTACAGTGATACAAATGGCCTCCACTTTACTTGCAGGACAAAATCCAATGAGACTGGCATGGCACACCAGGTCCTGCGGGACTCAAACCAAAACTTTGTCTCCAGTCGTATCCCACTCCCCCGACACCCTATGTCCAAATGGAAGGGTCTGCTACCCCCAATACTATGTGTTCATCAACACTTTAAAAGCACATATAGTTAGTGGAAAGGAGACGAGACTCACATTCTTTAAATAAATGCTAATAATTTAAGACACAAAGAGCACAGGGTGAGGGGAGAGCAAGGGTGAGGGACTGAGATTGAAAGTATTAAGGAAAATGCATGTTTTCCTACTGTCTGTGAATCCCACAAGAAAGCATAACAGCTGTGGGTTGGAAGGATAAAACTGGCCCAGGCATCCAGGTGTCTAAAACTATGAAGCATATATAATAATCAACGAAAGACAAACTACCATTTGATTGGGTCAACTGGCAGAATTCATATCTATGTAATACTAGTAGCATTTGGGCACTTATTACAATATGGCATACAGAATACTTTGCAACTATTTATTAGTATTACAGACAAACACTCAGTTGCTAACAGTGAAGTTCATTTATGCCCAGAAAGCAACAAATTAAAAAAAAAAAAAAAAAAAAAAAAAAAAAAAAAAAAAAAAGAAATGGAGCAAGAATAATATCATAGGGAAATGATATACTTGACTAGGGTTTTCTGAAGAAGGAAAAATGAAACCATCTAAAAGAAGTCTAAAATTACTTATGTTCTCAGGAGTACAAGAAGATTGCTAAAATTTTAATAAAAAATAAACCAATCTGTCTAAAAAGCTATGAGAAGGAAAATAAGACAACAGATGGAATTTAGCTGTCTGGAACTCTCTGGGTATGTTACAAAATGTGGATAAAAACTTTTGAATGTACTGACATGTTCTATTCTCAAACTGATGTAGCAGCTTTGTGACAGCTTTAAAGAATGGCACACGTAAATTTGTTTTCGGGCTCCCTGAATCTGGAATACAGAAGTGATAGCACTATTTTTCATTAGCAATAAAAAGAAGAAATTCACTGTGAATCGAATGATATCCGGCACTTCCCCAAAGTTCCTGAAGATATCTGATGCTGTAACAGCATTGTCTATGTCACAACTCATGTACAATTTCTTCATTACATTGGAACATGCAGTCTTTTGTCATTGCTTTCATTTGCTATGTGTTGTTTCTTGGGAACAGAATCTGCACTTTACGAGGGGAGATAATAAAGTTATGCAAATAACTGTAAGGCAGGCATCAAGGACAAGCAGATTTTATGACGAACAAGAACGAGTAAAGGGGCACTTGGGTGGCTCAGTCGGTTAAGCATTCGACTTCATCTCAGGTCATGATCTGGCGGTCTGTGGGTTCAAGCTCTGCGTCAGGCTCTGGCTGACAGCTCGGAGCCTGGAGCCTGCTTCTGATTCTGTGTCTCCCTCTGTCTCTGCCCCTCCCTTGCTCACACTCTATCTCTCTCTCAAAAATAAATAAATATTAAAAAAAAAAAAAAAGAGTGAGTAAAACTTAAAGACAGAAATCATGTCTGACTGGGATGTCAAGAAGACCCCTTGGAAAAGACCATGTAGTTAGGCTTGGAAGATTAGAGAAGGCTAAGCTGGGGAGAAGGCCCATCATTTGGACTGACGGAACAAAGGCACAGTAGTGGGAAAAATAATTCCAAGCTGCTCTCAAGAAACACCTTGGATAATAATTTTATTCAATCAGTGTTTTGTATGGATAATTGAGGGAAAGTAAAATGGTCCCTATGTTGCAGAATACCATGTTTTTGTTTGTTAAAAACGACCAGTCTGTATGAACAAGGTATAATCAAAACTCTGCTTCAGGAATATTAATGTGATATAAACAGTATGACCTTAAAATTTTATATGCATAGAAATGGAGACTATACACCAAAAGATTAGCTGTATTTAACTCCAAGTGGGGATATTACAG